GGCCCCACGCCTAGGGAGGCCCCGTGCCTACCGCATCTGCCTGCCTCCCCAGGCTGGGAGGAACGTGGCGGGGCCTAGCCCGCACGCCGGGCAGGGCTGGCAAAAGGGCCGGGCCCAGCCCCGAGGGTTCGCGGGACCAGGAGGGGGAAGCCCGGAGGGCTGCGGAACGCACCAGCTAAACGCGTCCGCAAGTCCAAGGCCGTGCCTGGGGAGAGAGGCCAGCCCACTTAGGGGTCACGGGCAGAGAGGCTCCCTGGAGGTCCCTACCCAGCTAGAGTCGGGTTTTCTTCTGGTGTCTGGCCGAACTCCTCTTACCCGTCGCCCCTCCCCCAAATAAATAAATATCTCCAAGGGCTGTGGATTCCGCGGGGCGCTGAGGTAGGTGAACTTCCTGGAGCGTCAAAACTCCCCTCTAGTCCTCCCCGCTGAGCTCAGGATACGGAGCGCGCTCGCTTCTCTTCAGAAAAGGAAACGTAGCTCTTCCAAAAATATAAATCAGCTCTGACGTCCAAATCTTTCTTTTGTCCTCCAGCATCCTCTGTGGGGATAAATAAAACCTGCTAGGCGCCCGAAGCCCGACTGGGGACCTGGGGGCGTCCAGACTGGTCCTCGGGAGGTGCTGCCTTTGGAGAGCCTTGCCTCCGACCCACCCCGCAACATTCCCCAACCCGCCCCCATCTCAGTCAGCAGTTAGTCCCTATTCCGGGGGGCGGCCTGACCCCTGTGCGGAAGGGAGGAAGGCAGCTTCTTGATGCAACCCCGGCGCCTTAGAAGGCAAAAGGCCAGAGAGGCAGGCTTGAGGGGAAGGGATTACGCGGCGCTCGGGCGCTAGGACGGAAGAGGCCAGGAAAGCAGGGGGTACCGCGGCTCTGTGGGCGGGCAAGGCCGCTCCAGGTGGGTCTTACCCTCGAGGTTTCGAGTCCTACCTGGCTACCACCGGGTTCCACATCGGGGGTCTCAACCCCAGGGCAGCCTCACCTTGGATAGGCCCAGAGGAAACCATGTTTGGGGCTGAGAGACCCCCGAGTGGGCCATCTCTGGAGGCTGGTGCTCCACGAGAAGGAAGAGGCTGGGCAGAGTCACAGGCTGTGTCCCCGGGGCTCTGAACCCACGGACCGTCTGGAAGGCTTAAACCAGGTCATCCTCGTCCTCCCTCCATCTCCCGCCTCCAGCTTGGGAGAGTTGGACAGGGTTTTGGTCAGGGCTTCGAAAAGAAATCTATACCACGGGAAACCACAGGCAGCGAGTGTGGCTGAGGAACTGGCGGAAGAAGAATCTAAAAGGTGAAATCACCTCTGGCACCTCCACTTTCTTTCTGCTTCCCTGACACCCTGATGTTGAGAACCCACCAGCCTGTCCGCTGTTCCCCATCCCCTCCCCAAATAAATCACCCCGCGTCACCCACGCGGAGCAGCCTGAAAGGCTGCTGCTGAGGAGGGTTCCAGGCAAGGCTAAGTCTCCACCTGCGGGAGCTCTGCCCTCCTCTCATCCCACCCCCAACTCCCGCCCCTGCTCACAAAGGTTCTTTTCCAGTCCTGGGGCCTTGGGGCTGCGAGGTGGAGGCTGTTTCTCTCCCTCTCCCTCTCCCTCTCCCTGTCCCTCTCCCTCTCCTCTCCCCTCAGAGGGGTCTTATTGATGAACTGCCTCAAAAACCACCGCCCAAAATGTCCCAGAAGGGTTTAGACAATCCATCACCCACCACTTCAAGAATGCTTCCTCCCTTTCAAACACAATCCTCGCACACCAGACGGGCTGCGGTGGGGAGGGGCGCGCACTTGAAAAGAGAACAGCTATATAATCAACGTCAAAGCCATCCCACAACCTTTCGGAAACAGGGACTGGGGCCAAAAATCCCTCCAAATGATTTACACAGCCCCCCTAGCCCTCTCCCCCACACCCCTGCTTAGACTCTCCTCGTGCCTGCATCACGCAGCCAGCAAGGCCACGCACAACCCCCCGCCCCCCGCCGCTCTGCCTTGAACGTTAACACCAAAGGCTTCTCAGTGGGGCTTGTTTGCATTTAGGAGAAAGCACTTGTCATCTTGGGGTTCCAAGGAGGAGGAGCGTCTCGGCTTGTCCGGTATGCTTTTGGGGCCTTAGTCATGGTGTCTTTATTGGTGGAGAGCGGTGAACTGCGAGGACCGGGCCTGTGTTTTTGCGGTTGTCAAATGGGCGTTACCTCCCCTCCCTACGAGAATCCTCCCATTCTTCTGTGTAGCCGCTGTGCCTCCCTTTTGTCTTAGGCACCTCCCGGTAGAGGCTAGAGTTCTTCTCGCTTCCGCTGGGTGGCGCCAGGCTCTCGGGAATCGCGCTAGGCGAGGCTGACTCTGGTGCACCCCCTCCACTCCCCTTCACTTGCCTAAGGCTCTCCGCGCACCCGGCCCAGGTCTGGCCTCCAGCCGGTCAGTGTTTGGTCCTCAGGTGAACAGATTCCTTTAAATATTGCTTACCTTATACTCGGTTGCCCACCTTAGGACATATTCTGCTTTTTCTAAGCCTCCACCCCGTTAAAATATAAAGTAGAAAATTAGCCACATACTTGTACACAGCTATTGAAATGAGCTCTATCCATTGCACACACGAGTAGGAATGTTTGAATTTCTTCAAACTTGCAGAAGAAATTCAGGATTCAGTTCAGTTATTTTGGTTCCTGGAGCTGTCCTGAGATCTAGTAGAAAACAGACCAGAGTCTCGGGAGAAGCCAGCTCCGTCCCTTCTGGAGCGAGGAACTGGGGAAAGCCTTTCCCTTCTGGACCTCAGGGGTCTCATCGTGAAGTGCCTCCAAAACTACTCTTGCCTTCTGGGTCTACAGTAACAGGAAGACAACTTTTTGCCCCCTAAACTTGTCCTTTTTAAAGTCTGCAAGATAAAAAGGAATATTGGGGGCTCTTTTGCGACCTGCTGGATACAAAGTGGGGGAGGGATGACAGGCCAGGTGGAGGTAGGCTTAGCAGTCAAGAAAGCCAGGGGCACTAGATTTGAAACTTCAGACCAAGATTTACCCACCGGTCAGATCATCCTCTGCAACAGAAGCAACTGGACTTTATCTTTCAGAAAACAAGAAGGCATTCTTCATAGTAACTGACTTTTATGGGAAAAAAAAACACACAACTTCTAAAAATTAACTTTATTGAGGCATACTTTACATACAATAAAACACACCCATTTTAAGTGAAGATGTTGAGTTTTTATTTTAAAAAAATATATTATGAAAAGTTTCTTAGTACACATAAGTGGACAGGGTATACAATTAGCCCTCCCTCATATACCCATCACCCAGATTTAACAATTATCAAGGATATGCCATACTTGCTTCATTTATCTCTTTTCTATTTTCATTTCTTGCTGAAATATTTTAGGGCAAATTCAGAAATCATGTTCTACAAGTAGACCTTATTACTTTTCCCCATGCCTTCCAGTTCTAGCTCTCCATACCTAAAATTACATTTGGCACAGACAATCACGTTTCCTTGGGGAAGTTTGAAATTGTTCTGGATGTGTGTTTTACAAACAGAACTGTCCATCCTGCTGCTTCCTCCCCACAAGTGACTTCCAGCCCTGGTTCTTGGCTTTTTCCAGGCTTTGTCCTTTCCCCATCCTCACCAGGGCTAGGGCTGTGAAAAGGGGTGCTCCTCTGTTCAGCTCCCAGAGTTGATGCCACACTGCCTCCATACATTCATACCAGATCATACATATGACATTAATTTTATTGCAAGATTACACGTTCCTTTGCGTAGATCTATACATGTGGATATTTGTGTATGTATATTTGTCCATGTGGACCATAGAGTAGTTCCAAATTGTTTACCCAGGCAGTGGGCAGCCAGGAAAGACTTTTTTGTGTTCTTTCTAAATGCCTGTAGGAGGATGTTGGACTAGGCTAGAAAAGTGAAGGTATCCTGGGAGGAGTGGGGTGGAACACGAGGCACTGGTTGGCCCATCCCCTCAACCACCAGTCCACACTATGCCTCTGTGCAAATATTTTATTGAGTTGTCTGCTTTTTCTGCACCACCACGCAATACATGTTACCATAGTTTTTAGCATTTCCCTCTTTTTCAATGCAACGCTGATCAGATGAATAGCTATGCGGTGGTCATACATAGCCCTAGATTTTGTTTGACAACGCACCTGTTTCTCGTAACTGTGGGTAAGTCTCTGAGCTTCACTATCTAAATTTTTTTGGTAAATTGCAAATTACAAAAACAGTAACAGGCCCTCTCCCACAGTGACTATAAAGGTGAAATAAAAATTGTAAAAAGTGCCCGGCCCGCATGGCTTAGTGGTTGACCATAGATCTATGATTCAGGAAGTCACCTTTCTTTAAGGTCAGAGCGGGGCTTGCAGGCTTTATCTCCAGTGTGGGGAGTGCAGGAGGCAGCCATCAGATTCTCCCTCATCATTGATGTTTCTATCTCTCTCCCTGTCTGTAATCAATAAAAATATATGTAAAAAATTGCAAAACGCATTAACATATATTGACATATACATTTATATTATTGTTTTTTGCCCAAAGGAACAAAAACGCTATTTGTTTTAAGATACTGTAAGTTTCACCGTACCTGGGCTCTTTCCTCCCCACAAAACTCTCTCATATGCATTTTGTATTTTGTCCTTAATAACGAAAAGATGTGTCCATTGTCTATAAGTTTAAGCTACCTCTGCTGGGCATGGGTCTCTCTGGGGGTCTCTCCGGGTGTGGGCCGCGGGGCACAACCAAGATGCGTGAGTTCTCTCGGGGCTCGCGGGGAAGGGGCGATATTTCCTTTGGTGGGGTTCACGCAGACGTAGGCGGGATCTGTTTCGCATCATCCGGGCCTGGGCGCTCGCCCTCTGATCGGGATGGGCACCGTGACCAAGGCGATGCGCGCGCGCGTGTGTGTGTGTGTGTGTGTGTGTGTGTAGAGCGTCATTTGTCTTGAGCAAAGTGTGCCTCCGGGAAACACCTGCAGAATAATGCCAGGCACAAGCGGAGGGCTGTGTGGGATCTGGGCTCGCTCACTGGGGATCGAGCCACAGACCGCTGATCTGCACTTGAGGAGTTTCTCTGCCCTGAGATATCTCCAGGAAAGCATGAAAGCGCAGCAGAAAAACTTGCTCGCATGCTGCTGCAGGAGTTGCAAGGGCGCCTGGTGGGCTGCTCGCTGATTTGAGCCGAAAGCAAAGCAGGGGCCGGAATTTGTTTCAGGCGGAAATTTCCTCCTTTCCGCCCCATTTCCCGTTTGCAACAAACGCAGGCTCTGGACCGCCCTGTGGGAGGCTACAAGGCAGGCAAAGATCCTTCACCATCCACCCAAACCACAGCGCCCGGGAGCCCTGGGCGGCGGGCTTGGGTCCCTCAGCCTCCTGTTTGGGCGGGAAACAAAGGGCCACTGCCGGCACCCCCCACCCAACCCCATGAGTTTCAGGCAACTCTAATTCTGAAATATAATCTGCGATTTAAATACTAAAGTCGTAAATGCTTTCTGCCCACTTAATTTTTTTTCTGTGTACCTCCCCGCCCCAATACACCCTGCACTTCTAGTTACAAGACCTTGAATAAGTTATTTTTCGGGATTTCAATTTCGTCATTTTATAATTGGGATCATATTAGCTGCTTATAAAGTTGCTGGGAGGATTAAACGAATTAATTAATCCACATCAAGAGCGTAGAATAGCAAGCAGCACGGGAGGGGGGTTGCTCAACAAACATCAGCCATGAAATTGACCACGAAGATTCCTCTGACTTCGGATCTCCTTTCCCCGCGGGGTGACTTCCAGTTGCGGTCCGAAGGGCCTAGGGCTAACGGGGCCAGCCACAGCCACACTCTTGGGCTTGGTTTCAGTTTTAATATTCGATTAAGAATTAAGAGTTATAAACGGACCTAAGAGAAAGTACGAAAAGTCCCGGGCAGGACCCCTGGCTTAAGGCTCAAGCCCTGCCCGGAAGCAGGTGCGTGCGGCCCGGGGCACTCGGAGGCTGGGCGCTTCTGGGAGCGAAGGCCCGCCCTGCTGTCTAATAAGGGGCCTGGTGACCCGCATCAAACTTGATTTAGCGCAAAGTGCGGTGCTTTGGCTGCATCGTCCGGATGACTCAATGCGGGCCAAGTTGTTTGGGATGATGGGTGCTTTGGGCAGCGGTGCGCTACCGCGCCCTCAGAGTGGAAGGGTGTCCTGGTCGGGTCGGAGTGTAATGGAAACGAAGCTCAGAGGGCGACAACTTTAGAAGCTGGGGGTGGAAAGCAGGGAGAATATTTTCCTTTTAGTGCCTTCGGACTCTCCCGTGTCTGATCTTGGTCAGGGTCTTCTCTGGCTCAGGCCTGTCATGGAACACTGCTTGGAAAGGCAGACAATAAATGCCGCTCTGCCACTTGGGATTAGCGGGGGCCTTGGGCTCGGGAAGAGGTGTGGGGCCCAGTAAGGGGCAGGTTGGACTCTGAAGGCAAAATCAGCCCCGTGGTGGCCGCAGGGAAGGGCGCAAGGCGCAAAACTTCAGGTGGAGCCGCGGCTCCGGGCAGGGGGACTCGGAGGGCGTTCTGGAGGGGGTCCGGACGCGGCTGCTCCGCTGGGCCAGGAGGGGCAGAGTGAGAGGGAAGTGATCTCTTGAACCTCTTCAAATGCAAATCCTATAAGAAGTTTTTTAAGGAAAGAAAAGCGGAAGGACAGGGAAAATGGAGAAATAACCGAGTCCACCTGAGGCTTGAATGGCCTTTTAAGAATTCTAGGCCCCTGGGGTTTGCAGACTTCCCTACAGTAGACCAACGATTGGTAATGAATTTTGGATTTCCCCTCAGGAGCATGAAGCTACCAGCTGACTTCCTCCAATATGCATATTTTACATATATAAACACCTTCATAGTTTAATAGCCATTTAAACAAATCGTTCTCATAAACTCTTACTCCTAAAACGATCTGGCACAAAACAGCTTTTCTTTATCGGATCTTTTTCTTCCTTCTTTTCATTACTGGCTTTTGCAGCTAAAATTTCATCTCCAGATTGGTGGCCAGTATTTCTATATGTAACTTTGCTGTCTGTTCTATTGTAACGTCCCACATCACTTTCCCTGTCAAGGTTAGATTTAGAATATTATTTTTCCTATTATAAGAGAGCTAATGTATATTTTGGGAAAAAGCAAATATTCCTTTTGTTTATTACTTGTTGGTTATTAACTAGCAAATGAGGCTGTTCCACTGCAGGTATCCTAATGAGACACTCAGCTATGGTTAGTTCTCAGCTTTAAAAAAGACCGAGTTATTTCCATTTGTCAACTTTTCATTCAGCAAAAGAGAGGCTCTTAAAGTTTTCTTCTCCCAGTGAAAGGAAATTTTGTTTGGGGACTTGAAAATAAAAACTAAACCTCTAGAACCCAAATTTTGGGACAAAATTGGTGTGTTAAGTTAAACAGGTCAACTGGGCAGGCATGATTTGGGGGTGGTGGTTGGGGAGGAGAGGAGTATGTAGGTCTTTTGGACAGTGATGCTCATCTGAATAAGGGAATAGGATGCATTTGTGGGTCTGGACAAGTGTCAGAGAGGGGCAAGGTAAAGAAGGTAGGGAGTGATAGATTCTCTTTCCGTGAAAGCCTCCTTAATAAAAGACTGATTAACAGTGTTTGATGACAGACCCTTAAACCTGAAAAGCAGGTTTAAGCATCACCCATTTTGGTCTGCTGCTTCATGTAGGTAGAGGGTGGGTGTTGGCATCAGGCTGAGGGGATCTGCCCTTCTGAGCTCAGCAAAAGCCAAATTTAATAAACTTCTTTTTGTTTTGTGGTTTGTGCCTATGGAAAACTTCTGCAGTTGGAGTGCTCTCAGAAAAGATCTGAGCCTGAAGAACTTTCCATCTGTAAATCAGTTACAAAACACAATGAAGTGGAATTATAGTGTGTTTTATGGACATAGGGTTTTAACCAAAAGGAAAAGAATGCGGATGCATATATCAGGTAAGTTTGACTACAGAAGAAATTTCTAACATTAGCATGTATAAATTCATAGTGATGTGAAAATAATAAATAATTTGAGTGTCTTGAATTTATTATAATATATAATAAGTTCATTATATGGCTTTCTAACTAGGAAATTGTTTCGAGGCCAAGATTTGATTGATGTCTGAACTTTGGATGTACCTACAAAGTGAAGATCAGAGTTGGGCAGTGTAGGTAACACCCCTTAAAAATATTTTTCCTGGCCTGCATTACTTGTACTTTTTCTTCTAGTTTTCACTTGCTTTTCTGATATAACGACAGTGCAATTTACCTTCATACCTTGAGTTAAATGTGGAATTTCAATTGGTGGGAATAGAATAAACAATGTTACTCAAATAATGCAGATATTTCATTTGCATAATTAAAGGTACTTTTACCTAAAATGCTTCTTAAAGCTTTAAATATTACTTTAAGAAAAGGAATTAACTCTGAAAATGTAAATAATTTTAAAAATTCTAAACTTCACTTTTATTTTTGTGTGATAGCTTGCTTGCATTGTATTTACTTGCAATGATTCACTTTGTCTTTTTGAGGGGACATGAACAATTTTGCAAATGTCTATTAACCTATTAATCATTTAAAGAGGGAGACGTAAACACATCCTCACTTTTTTAAACTAGGCTAATGGAGTCATTGGAAGATTAACAGTAAACCCTGAGGTCAATACAGTATGACACTTCCATTAATAACTCAGAGTTTCAAAAGAAAGTAGTGTGTTGGAGAATAGGGTAAAAATGCATTAAAAAAACTTGCTAGAGCCCTAACCAGTTTGGCTCAGTGGATAGAGCGTCGGCCTGCAGACTGAAAGGTCCCAGGTTTGATTCTGGTTAAGGGCATGTACCTTGGTTGCGGGCACATCCCCAGTGGGAGGTGTGCAGGAGGCAGCTGATCGATGTTTCTCTCCCATCGATGTTTCTAACTCTATCCCTCTCTCTTCCTCTCTGTAAAAACTCAGTAAAATATATTAAAAAAAACTTGCTAGAGAACTTTCTAGATATATGTTTTTTTGGTTTCTATTTTAGTTTGCCTAGCATCTTTTCCTTCCTGCTACTGATGACAGCATCCCTGTATCCTTAAGGAGAGCTCCCTTTCTCTCACTCAGTGTCATCCTGGTCCCATCACATTGCAATGACACTGTCAGATGTGGGGTCATATGATCTATGCCTGTCTGTATTACCCATCCTTTGGCCACTTGGTTGGCTGAGTGTAGACAGGGGGTCAACCTTGGTCACTTAGAGTCCTTCCCTGGGGTTATTAGCACTAAAGATAAGAGAGAGGTTCAAACTTTCCCCCACTAGATCAGGAATCAGAAGGATGTGTCCTTGGAATTTTCTGTGACCATCTTGTCACTTTCCTGGCTCCTTGGCAGAGCCCATTTATAATAGAAAATAACCAACCCAGGAAGGAAGCAGAGGAGACAGAGAGTGTGGGCTGACAACACTGTTGGAAATGAGGGGCTGGCCAGGCCCTGGAGTTCTCATTTAATCAGCCAGTTCCATTATTCCACACATCATTTTTGAATGCTACTCTGTGCTAGACACTATTCTAGGTGTGGGGGAAACATTCAGGTGAAGGTAGTCAAGGTCTCCACTTTTAAAGCTTAAATTTGAGGATGGGGAGAGAGACAACAAACAAATATAGAAAAAAGGTGGAGAAAGTGGTATGGAGACAGACTATAAACAAGTTCATACATAAACGAGAAAATTTCTAATGGTAATATAGGGGAAGAAAAGTAATTTTCCTTCTATCCTTCTAGGTTCTTTTGGTGCGACCCTCCTTAATAAAAGACTGATTAACAAGAGATAAACAAACACAAGTTAACAACATGTACCCTTCTTGTATACATGAGAGAGACCCACGAAACGAGTGCCCCCTGAAATGGCCCAAGCCATCATATTAAATGCCATATTTAGCTGAAGACAAAAGAAAGATGTTCTGGGGTGGGGGAGCCAGTGGAGGGATATTATTTTTAAAATCCCAGGGAACAAGGGTAAGGTTGTTACGGAGGTTTAAGTAGGTGTCTTGTGATTTAGTATCACCCCTTTCTTTCTGGTATGGAGAGGGAGACACGATGAATATTTGCCTTGTACGTGGAAATGTCCCTCACACAAGGTAACTTCTGCTCAGTTGTCAGAATGTCTCCTATGCCTTCTGTTTCTTCAAAGTAATCAGCTCAAAATAATCTTTATGTCAAAGAGGCATGTTTTGGGCAGGCATATTCTGTGCCCCTTCAGTAAGAAGTCAAGATAAT